CATCCCCTGGTTATTATAGAATCAGCAATTCTGTTGTTATAGCTTGGCTACCTGTGCGGTCGCGACTCACGCCGTGGCCTTGGAGGTAAGGCGGAATAAATTTGAGCGACATGCAGACAGAAATATTTCTGTCACATCACACGGATCTCTCGTGTGTCATTGGGCTATGCGCCAGGCAGGATAACAACAAGTACCATCTTATAAACGTATTTTGGAATATCGCGGACGGGGATCGAACCATTGATCTTCCGTTCTCCGGGAAGACACTCTATCCACTCGCCCACGGAAGATCCGGGGTAGAATAGGTCTTCAGCAACCCATGCTTGCTGTAAAAGGCGACTATGCTTGTCGTAAGAGGCGACTAACGGGATCGGGTGGTCAGGCGCGCTGACTTGGTTGATGCATATCATCAATCCCAATTGCGTGGATCGATGCTCATGATGTCAATCACTTGATTGTCTGGCCCAGACTCGATTATTTACAGACCGCCGTCATATAGCTGGAATATTACTGAGTGCGGCGTTAAACAACAAGCAAACAACCGGAGGCGGTCGCTAATGATACATGTGAGATTCGTACTATGAGGTCGGAGACTGATGATACACCATGGCAATTATAAACACCTTTTGGACTTGGATTAGAATAGTTCCTTGTTTTTTTTATAAGAGTTGCTAACTTGGCGGATTTTGTGAGATCGTGCCCCGTGGGAACCTTGGTGAAAATAGGTCCCGACATCCCATGCTTGTCAACAGTATGGGGTGGTCAGTGATGGTAACTTGGCTTACTGCTTACCATCGTGCCCCGTGGGGACCTGGGTTAGAATAGGTCCCGGCATCCCATGCTTGTCAACAGTGTGGGATGGTCAGTGATGGTAACTTGGCTTACTGCTTACCATCGTGCCCCGTGGGGACCTGGGTTAGAATAGGTCCCGGCATCCCATGCTTGTCAACAGTGTGGGATGGTCAGTGATGGTAACTTGGCTTACTGTTTACCATCGTGCCCCGTGGGGACCTGGGTTAGAATAGGTCCCGGCATCCCATGCTTGTCAACAGTATTAGGTGGGCAGTGATGGTGATTTGGTTGATTGCGAGTCATCGTGCCCTGATGACATGGATCGTTGCCGAGTCAATGGGTTTATTTCCGAGCCGGACTCAATTATTTACAGGCCGGAGTGATATAGCTGGAACTCTTGCATTTTACATCCTTCACGTATGCCTTCACTAAGGTAATTGGTGAGAGTCGATGTCGAGCTCTCACCCTGCCGATTGCTTTGTCCGCTTAATGGTATGTACCGACTCTATACCCGAGCTGCATGTGATAGGCTTTTACCCCCGACGTGACGTAATGGGGATACAATCAGAATCTATACCCTCAAGGTGGGGAGTGTTCATTTAAACACTTTAGAATTTAGATTTTCAGGTTAAACAGAAATCATCGATCGTGAATTGCTCGCCGAAATAGATCCCAATGCGATCCATGTTCTCAAATTCCTCACGAGAGTTCCACTGAAAATGGTTCTGATGCACCTGGTACTTTAAAACATAGATTTTTTTTATATGTACCCAAAACCCCATGTACGCGGACTCGGCGTTCAATTTGAAAATAGAAGGTTAAAGGGGAATTTCTTACGGCTTACTCAGTGTTGAATATATATAAACTAGCATTATTGTTATGAGTGGTCTGAGGAATGGGGAGTGTCAATTAGGTCCCCAGGCAAGGCGACATCAACATATACTCTGGGGTAGGCCTGTCTGGCTGCGTTAGTGTAACATCATACCCAAACGACAACTTTCACACAGCAGACCACGCGATGTGACTGGAATATTACGGTCGGCGATAGGATTGGGGGGGGGGGGGGGGGGGGGGGGCGTTTAAGTCGTTGTTACAGCAACATTCCATTTATTTAACAGCAGTTCGGTCAAGGGCAATAACTCTCGGACCCGTGACTTCTGTATTATCTGCACCTCCTCACATCCTTTTTTTCAAAATTCTTCATCCGCCCCTTGCAATGTCGAACTATGTCGGAACGTGGGATTTATTTTGTCTCGATTCCTGGCTGGCTATGGGGTATTTTACGTTCGCTTCTTACAGTTATGTTATGCGCACGGGGACTAGGATGTCGTGGAGTGTTTGATAAGTCTGTTAAATACTTCTTTGTCTGCAAGCCCAACTTGTATATATTATATAATTGTGTATTTTGTATGTTAATCTACCAGTTAAGGATTACCCTAAGTACACTGTGACAATGTCTCCGTATTATACTGGACACAAAATACAAGGTCTAGACCTACGCCAAAATTGGCACAAGACAATTGAGGACAGTCCATCTATAATGACATCGCTATAGGAAATACCCGAATCCATTACTTAACATTTTATCAATAAGTAAATCTCGCCTATCAAGTATCACGAAAGCGACACTTTTTGTTATTGTTTAATGTTCCGATTTGAACACTGTTTTAACAGAAAAATGACACTTTCAATAACTGGACATCTGTACACTTAAGCATTTTAAAACCACATAGATCCTTCAAAACAGTCAACCAGTCTATATTATCAGTCAGATCAAGCATGTGATTAGTGTGTATGCGGAGCTTTGACGAATGCCCTGTTTCATTCCCTCAGGAAATGTCATAGTTATAACACACACACTTCACGGGGGAAAGGACAACTTATATCTTAAGTGGGTGAGTGGGTATGGTTTAACGCCAGTTTTAGCACATTTGCAATATCACGGCGGGGGTGGGGTGGGGGGTGGGTGGGCTTTGAACATTTCATCCACGTTGGGAATCGAACCCGGACCTTCGGTGTGATGAGCGAACTCTTTAACCACCAGACTACACCACCGCCCCCGTGAGTCAGTAGACCAGTAGAATTAACATTATTTGAAAAGACAAAACTGAAAAACAGACTGAGATCAGACTGAGGCAAAGATAAAGGGTATTTTTATAAATTTTGTTTACATCTTTCCAACGATCACTCATCCCACGTGTGTTTTCTATCAATCATTTAGTAATTAAAATACACCCAGTCGTTGAAGGTACCGCATTTCGCTGTGCAAAGTTGCGTCCGCTAAAGGTTTTAGAAACCGTAGAGTCGTGGGTTCAAATCCAATATTCGCCCCGAGTCTGGGTATGACAGAACCATTACCATGCTCTGGGGTTTAACTATTTTGGTAACGGTCCAAGACATGCATCACTTCGGGCTTTCCTCCAACATCAAGTTGACATGCTGTGATATAACTGGAGTATTGTTCAAAGTGGCGTTCAGCACGCACTTACTCCACAATCGCAACTTGAAGCGCACGTAAAATCTCTTATTTCAACCACAGTTTCCAGCTTTTGGTGCCACGATGAGATAACGAGGTCAGTGGAGACATACAGATATTATTACACCCGCAACGCTGTGGGTGCGTATTTTCATATAACCATAAGCTATACTTCCTTATAAGGGTTACCTCCCAAAATGCTAAGCATACTGTATGTTTAGTCCTGCAGTCCTACACGGAAACTGGGCCAACGTTTCCCGCCTTTCCCTGTGACAGACCTTGTCCCCTTCGATCATTGCAGTTGCCCCCCTTGGATTTTTTTAAATTTTTTATCGAAAACAGTTTTATTTGAATTATGAAAATACAAGTTGGGGACAAGTGATACTTGTACAAATATTTTTATTTATATAACTTTTTCCCCGCCCCCATCTGGAAAAAAACTTGGACATGAGAAACACAAAAATAAGTATAGTCAGTGTAACTGATTCTTTCCCAGAACACAGGCCTATCTTATGGATACACTGGGAGTCCTACTATTCTGTAGCCTCACGCATTGACGAGAGAGCCGGGATCCAACCTTGGATAATATGCAGGAATGCACTAGTCCAGTAAATATCTCTTCATCGGGAGAAAGAAGGGGCAAGGAGTAACTCTGAAACGTCGCTGCAAAAAATGAAATAAGTTGTTATCCATAAAAAGTGTCATGTATTAGGCTAATGTTGATCCAACTTTGCTTAGCTAGTCAGCGCTGAGCTCAAGTCAAACCAGTCGAGATTCTAGTCCATAATGGGCAAATTGTGAATCCGTTAAGAAAAATAATAATACATATTTCAATAAGTTGGAGTGTGGTTGCCCTTTAGTTTTTATGCTTGCAACATCAATTGTACAATGTCATAAAAAACATTTCTGATATTTTCACCTCAACTATAACGGTGCATTAAATTTTATTGATAGGTTTAGAATGTTACATTGCATTGACATTTCGTTTATTCGGATCCCGCAAATATGCTGTTGCTATTAAATCATATTTCGTTTACACGACGAAACCTTTTAAATAAAGACCGTAACCGGAAGCACGTGGTCACACACACGTTTCGCCATTTTCCTGTGTGGAGTCCATGCGAGGAGGGCGTGTGGAAGATGTCTCAAAGGAAGGATGTCGGTTGCAGCCCTTTCTCTTCGTTTAAATGCCATTTTAATGCGAGCATTTGTATTAGTGATACCGGTAAATATGAATTCATTCAGTATGCATGCGGAACACAGATTTGATACTATTCCGTTAAATTAAGCGCCACCTTGCCGGACTTGCCGAGTAGGCCCCAGCAGGAGCGTTGACAGAATCCGTTGCCATCTTCGGCGACAGGGCATATAGCGATTGTTTTAGCAATTGCAATTTGTTGTCTTGTAATGGAACAATGCCTGACTATTCTCATTTTTGATATTTGTGATGTTCGTACGAAAAAAAATTATTTAAATTTTATGTCCTGGATTATCTGTTATTAAAAACAGTTAGTAGGAATGTGTGCTTGCCTGAGGCAGAATGTGAACAAGACCTTGCTGCTCTCAATGATGACAAAGATGACGAGTCTGACATGTTTCTCTCTGCCTATCATGTCAGTTCTTGGTGTGGTAGTTTTGAGAGAAATGCGTTCGAGATGACACTTGAGGCATTTGTCTGAGAGATTCCAAATGACGGCATTGGCTAAGGTTAACATGATTTCTTTCACTTAAACTTTGAACGATTTGTAGGTCTCGACTTCAGGTTGTCCACATGGGGTGTCACAATGCATGCAAAAGTCTTTGTTTGCTGGCACATTTTTTATTCAGTCGACTTGAATGTCACAGATCTGTTTAAAATTACCTGGTAAAAATAGATTTGATATTTGGAGCCTGGATGGTATGTGCAAAAGCAGCATTCATGAAGTCTCCAGTCTGATGGTGCTAAACAATGAACTGGGATAGAACTGGTCTTGAGCGTCCCATGCTTGAAAGAGGCAACGAACGGGATTGGGCAGTCAGGCTCGTTTACTTTGTTGATGCATTCCATTTTGCAAAGATTCATGATGCTTGGTTAAATCTTCCGCTACCACTGATCATGTTGGTTAGATGAGTTATAAGACTGTGCAGGGATGGGTTAATTATATTCAGTGACAAAATTCAACAATGCACATGTTTGTATGTCCTTTAGGGGGGCACATGTCTAAGTAGCAGTTCAAACAAGATTTTCGATGATGACAAAGATGACGAGTCTGATGCGCTTCTTGCTGTTGACCATTCCAGTTTTTGGTTTGGGAAAATGGAAAGATCTGCTTTCAAGATGACAATCGAGGCATTTGTCTGAGAAATCCTCAGTTTGTACAGGGCATGATTGCAAAATTATTACTTTGTAACAATTGTTCCCTAAGTCCATGAGCTTTAAGAATATTGGCTTCGCATGTCCACTTGGCAACAGTGGTGAAGAAACTTGGCCTTGATCATGGTTACTTGCTTTAGCCTAGACTGACATTTAGTCCCAGAAATAAAATCCTAAATTTCAGGGGCAAACCAAATCTGCAAGCTGATTTGTTGGAATTTGTCAACAGTCATGTTTACATGCCATTCAAGTACAACAGCATAAGTCTGTTCTAATTTGGAAGGATCTGCTTAATGTAAACCTGAAAGGTGACGTTTCCTCTTCATAAAGTCTAAACCCAGTATATTGTGTAATTGGGAGCTCCCACAGATGGCATTTAGACAAGGGACAGGGGTCTAGAGGCTAGTTGGGGTCACCCACATCCGCTTTAAACACTAGCGGACAGAACATGACTCCTTTTTCAAATTTAGGGACACAGTCCAGCTTTAGCTCTTAAGTCACAAGCAATTCCACTTTGTGTTTGTCTAGTAATCAATTGTAATGTAAATCACCAGTTGGAGGATTTCTGATTGTAGTTGTACCCTCTTTTAAATGTTTCCTTTGTTTCAGGTGGAGGCTTACCTAGCTCGGCAGTGAACATCTATGCAGTGGTGAGTACTTCTGGTCAGCTTGATGTGTGTTGCATGTGAATATAAATAAGGCATACTGATTTAAAAGGCAACATGGTCAATGTTAAGTTTCCAATTTCAAACCAAACCGGTTGCCTGAGTGGTTGCATAATCTTTGACATGCAATGATGGTTTAACTGAAGTCTCTGAATGTTTATGATCGACTTTTACCGGATTCTGAGCATGTCTATGTCATTAGTGATACAAATTGATGCCTGCTGGTGTCGCTTTGTCTAATGTTAAGGGTATGGCGAGGGTTAGAATGTTAGAATAGTGTTTTCACTATCTCTGCTAGTAAATGTTTTGGGTTAATTTGCATCCCTGCTTGTGCTTATAGAAATAAAGTAGAATTGTCTATTCCTATTTGTGTATAAACCTACAGTTTAACAGCGGGATAGTGTTTTTGCTCATGTAGCATATATTTTGATAACTTTCTTTCAGCTCAAAGATGACACCACACTGACCCTGTTAGTAACAACCTGAAACTGTCTTGAAAGAGCAAGCTGAGAGGTAAATTGAACACATGCTTGATATTTTTTAATGGTTGTTGGATAGAGATTAACATAATCAATGCATAAAGACTTCTTGCATCCTATTTGTTCCCAAATAGTCATTATGGAACACAGTAGCCTGTGAAGATGCATGTATACTCAGTATACATGAACTTGATTAGTGAAGTACTTATTTGTTTTATAAGTGACAATGTTTTATATATTTTTTATTGGGTATTAAATATGCCATTAAGAATTTATAATTTGGTTTTAAAGTTAAAATTCATTCAAATAGTCATCAAACTTGCTTCTTGATGATGCCAAAAATCCAGAAAAGGACCAATAGTTTACACTTGGAGTGATGTTCCCAAAGTTGACAGGGCTAATTGACAAGGTGCCTATTGCTTCATGATAAACTGATAACAGCTACAGATGTTGGGAACTTAGACCGTGGTTGGCCTTTAAGCACATGCAGTGATGCGCTAACTGAAGTCTCGGATTCATTATGATCGACACTTTACCGGATTCTGAGCATGTGAAAATCTTCATCTGTTAGTATCACATACACACCATTTGGTAGAAAACTTTCAGTAAAGCTGACGTGTTTATTCCATTTCACAATGGCATATTTTTCATTGCAGGTCATGTAATTATATGGCATTGACATCAACTGCTTGTCAAGTTGTCAGTAGGTAAGTGCTTTGGTGTTATCTTTACATAAAAAAAAAAATCAAGTTTAACATTTCATCGTAAATACATCAGTTTCCCAGTATCAAGGGTAGATAATAAAGTATAAAAAAATTGTTGACAGGGACTTGCAACTGCATATGTTTCAACCTTATAACATCTTCTTCTTTTTTAAAAAGAAGCCAGAAATGCAACTTTTAAAGGGGGTGGGGGATACTTTTCATGGACAAACTGACAGTGGTTAATGCCAACTTACATCCAAATTGTCATGAGGAACACGAGACATGCAATGATGGTTTAACTGAAGTCTCTGATTCATTGTGATCGACATTTACCGGATTCTGAGCATGTCTATTGTACCTACAACTCCTTGCCATAACCCAAATGTTAAACATGAGAGATTGAGGGGTTCCCCGATTAAAATACCAGATGAGCAGACAATGTATCTATCCTCACCTGTAACAAGTTTGTTCTATTCAGACAGTTCAAGTGCACATGCAGAGGAAAATGGACGACACTTCCTAGAAGTACTTACTCGGGACCACCAGGAGGAAAGTCTTGCAACAAGAGCAGACATCCTGTCAGGAATTTTAACATGTAAGTATGGTATATGTAGCTCATTTAACATGTCTATTAAATAAACTGTTGGAAGAAAATCAAATTACCCAGATACATGCAATGACGTCAATATTATCCAGAGACAGATCTTGTGCAGCCTGACACGTGTCCTTGTTCTGCATGAGCATTGAGCTCGGGCATGTAGGCCGCAAGACAAAAGTCGATGACAGCCTTTATAGTGTGAGCTTCTGAGCATGTCTACCGATGTTTGGGTGTATTCTGGTTAACTGGTCTCTTATTAGGCATCTGTTCTGTTTTATTCCAGTGTTGTGCCTTGAACGATTGCTGTCCAGTGAAAACATGTAAGCATCCTTCGTTACTGCATGGTTGTCTTTGTGTTCCACTTTGAATACACTGTTGCATGGATTTATCTGGACCTGCCGACTTATGTTCTGATGTAAGAATCGACTAACAGGACTGGGTGGTCAGGCTCGCTGACTTGGTTGATGCATCATGTCATCATATCCCAATTGCGTGGATCGATGCTCATGATGTCAATCACTGGATTGTCTGGTCCAGACTTGCTTATTTACAGACCTCCGTCATATAGCTGGAATATTGTTGAGTGCGGCGTTACACAACAAATAAAACAAAATACTGTCTTGCACTTCAATCATGATATTACCAATAGACCAGATGTTGTCATGTTCAAATTTAGGGTTTGAAATAATAAAATGCTTCTGAATTTTAGAATATATGAAGTATTTTGAGAAATTTGTTTTCCCGATTAGGCTGACAAGGTCGCTTAGTTTGGAATCCTACATACATGCCCATGCTTCAGGAAGAGCTAACGGAAATAGATTGAGATGGTCAGTTTCATCTGGCTGGTGGTGTCGGTGTATCCTGATGGAGTAAATCATTGCTTATGCTGTTGAGCACTTGTTTGTGTGAAACTATTTAATTGTCACTGATGAATCAACTGGAATTAACTAGCTTAACACTTACTGGATCCACTGAGCATAGCTTGATCTGACAGTTCCTGATACCTTGCCACATGCAGTGATGAGAAACATGTACGAGAACCCCAGTGGTCTGTAGTGGATCGTTGTTCTGCTTATTGCATTGAGCTAGGATTTCACAACAGCAACCCTGGGTTCATTGAAGATTTCAGTTAATGTGAGCTATAGATCTGAGCATGTTTTTGTTTAGAATTAAGCTGGAATATTATGGAGGAAGTTTATGATGGCAGATATCTGACTTTCAGGCATAGGAGAGGTGTGATGTCTGTCCTGCAGAACTGATGCTACCTTTGTTACAGAAGGTAGAAACTGAAAAAGGTAAATATGATGTTAAAATTGTCCGTGTGTCAGCTGTGTTCAAAATTTCAGAATTGTAATAACATAACGCTGGACCAGTATGTCTTGATCTGTGTTAGTTGCACATTTTCTCCTAAACTACTGAAGTTAAATTCAGTTTGGGGATGACGCCTGATGACTCTTGTGTTTTAAACAAAAGAGGACTTAAATATTAAGCTACATAAATCCACAAAGAATCTTCCATGCCATGATGTGAGCATTGTCTGACATGGATGTAGCCAGCAGGTCATCCTGGTGTTCTGCTTTCGGGCATTGAGCTAAGGGGCACCTGCTCGGCAGCGTCTTGAATGAGGGTATGAAGCTGACATGTTGGCTGTCATACAGTTGAGCATCTGAGCATGGAAGACCCTACCGACCATTGTTCATTATGTAAAGTATAGCGTACATGTTTTATTTTATTTTTCTCAGGCAGAGGTTTAATGCTGTGGGTGAAGTTCACAGAACAGGAAAAGGTAGGTCTTTGTGATGGAGCTGCTCTCTGCAGAGGTTTAATACGCCTGTAGCATTATCAGTATGCCAACAATATCAAGCTGGGGACAGAATGGGTTCCACGGGGAACCAGTGATAGATATTTGTATTGACGGAATCTGATATATACTACTAAAAGGTGGAATCTGGTGGTCTTTACCCTAACTGCTAATAAGTTACTCTGGGGGCAAGTAGAAATTTGGGTGTTTCAGAGCATGTCATCACATTCTCACTATCCAGGCTAGTGTTTCACTTATTTTTAATGTCTACCGATAGTAAACATTGGGACAATTGACAGAATGCAAGGATGATACGTTTTTCCCTGATCCTGATGAAGGTTCATGTATTAGCTGCTGAGCATTCTGATATCATTCTCCTCTGTAAACAAATGGAGCTACGACATTCCATTATGAAGAAATGACGGTGTTATAAGTATGGTGTCTGTTAGTGTTAATATTCCTGTGAGGCTGAGGAAAGTTTCCTTGTTTTGAGGTCATTGATTGGTGCTCCCGATAGCAAGGTGTCTGGGGTACTGCACGGGCGTGAGTGGCCCAGTCTAAGGCACCACGATTCGCTGTGCAGAGTTGCATCCCTTGGGCACACCAGAAACCTGATTGTGGGTACGAATCCCAGTTCGCCCCTATTGTTTCTAGGTTTGTCAGCACCATACCCGTGCTCGTGGGTTTCACCGAAGTGGTAAAGCTCTGAGAATATGTCTTCAGCAACTCATGCTTGCCATAAAAGGCGACTATGCTTGTCGTAAGAGGCAACGAACGGGATCGGGTGGTCAGAATCGTATCCCAATTGCGTGAAGCGATGCTCATGTCAATCACTGGATTGTCTGGTCCAGACTCCATTATTTACAGACCACCATGATATAGCTGGAATATTGTTGCATGCAGCGTTGAACAGCAAATAAACAAGTCTTGTAAGCTTCCCGTTTTCACTTATAACTTTCCCCAAGAAGCTAAGTGTACAAAATTTGTATGTTTCAGGTAACCTTGACCAACACCAGCAGCAGTCTACACGGTAAGTTATTTTAAGAGTTTAAAATGGAAGTTGTGGATGACTTGCAGGGTATATTCTTGTCCAAAGCACATTCATGATGATACTTTGTGCAGGCTAGAGTTTCGGACAATGATTTAATTCATTGAATGAGGCTAATGCATATCTGAAATGTGCTATGACTGAAGAACTTGTAAAACATTACTTATTGATATTTGAACGTACTTTACTGTGAGCTGAACTTCACGTAAGTTAAAGTGGTTTCAAACAGGCTTAAAACTTAACTGCTTGTTAGCTGGATCACATAGAACATTTAAAATTAAATGAGTAAATGGCCAAGCATACATCGTGACGTGTCCTGACGAGAGACATGCAGGCTAGTGTTTCAGACTTGTGTGACGGCTGAGTGAGGCAAGTGGATTCATGAATTGTCCACTTGAAATACCTAGTACACATGGGCATGTATTTAGGGAGCATTTATGGTATCTATTTTTCCCCAAAATTGCCTTAACCAGCATTATATGTTAGTGTTTTCTTTTCAGGATCTGCAATTCTATCAGTGGCTGTAGTCTTTCCTTTGAACCTGCTCGTTTGGTACCCAAGGTATTTAAAGACTGTACATGTTCTGATAATGAGGCATTCATGATGATACTTTGTGCAGGCTAGAGTTTCGGACAATGATTGAATTCATTGAATGAGGTTAATGCATATCTGAAATGTCTCAAATTTCATATTTCTTCTCTCAACATGCTTAATATTACTTTTTGTCTCGGCATCTAATGCTTGAAAACATTTAACTTGGTCTGTTGTAAAAGCATGAAGTTGTCATAATACTTTTCACCAAGTTAAGAAAATGTGAAATATGCATTTCAAGAAACCTAAGTTTTCATTTTGTTATTGCTTACGGTAGGCATGATATTTTCTGGTAATAAAACAACTTTTCTCTGGTAATTTGAAGTAACGAAACTCCTTTTTCTTTTTTCTTGCAGGTTTCTAAATGGAACTTCCCTGAGCCCACTCTCCCAGATGCATGGGAAGTGTTGGCTGCATGCTGTGGTATGACACTGACTGACAATAAATCAATGAAGTTACAATATTGTTGTCATTTGTTGGTTGACCTGAAGTCCAATCTGAATCCCTTGGGTAATGGGTGGCCCATTGTTCTGTGCCAGTTTTCTTTTAACCGGATTAGGCTCTTTGGTCTGTCACACTGGAGTATTTCACTCCAGGGCTTTAAAAAAAAGAATTGGTTCTCAGGCAATTGCTCTTGAAAATATACTGCTATCAGGCAGTGTTTTTTTGTGTTTTTTTTCTGTTTTGGTTGTTCAAGCTAGTATGTAACAATTTGGTTTACAATAATTTTGGCGAAATCATTGTAGTATTTAACTGTCCGGGTGGTGTGTTCCAGACACAAAATATTAAGGTTTTTTTAAATGGAAATAAAACGAAACATGCTGTTGACTTTGATGCAGATGGAGCCTAAGAACAAAGACTTTCTTTATTTAGCTCAGTATGTCATTATCCCCTTTCACGAAGTGGGGCGCGGGATATTGGAACGGAGTTCATCCGTCCGTCCGCTTTGCAATGAGGACAAATTTTCTCAAAAGCTATTCAAGTTGGAGGAATGAAATTTTGCATACTGATGTTATTGGTCAGGACCTCAAATGAGTTCGAAAATTAGTGTCTCGCATTCACATTATCTGGCCCTGTCTCCACCCCTGGAGACTTAAGCTCTGGGTCATAACTTTGTAACAGTTGAGATCCCTCCCCCCAAATATATAACCTTATATATACAATTGCTGGGCATAAAGAGACAAACACTCATGATATAAGAATATAGTCTGGGGTCTTGTCACACCCCTAGGGATTAAGTTCTTGGAAACAGTTGAGACCCCCCCCCCCCCCCCCCCCCCCACACACACACCCTATTGCCATATGCATGTGTAAATGTAATTGCTTAGTATAACAAGACAAATACACATGCTACCGGCCCTAAATAAGGATTTAGAATCTTGACCATAACATGCAAACCAATATTAACTCCCCCCCAACCTATCATAGATACATTGTATACATTTGTTATGAAGAGAATAATACATTTATGCCAATAGGATTCGGCCTGGGGTCCAGCCTTGCCTCTGAAAAACAGATCATGGATCATAACATGGCAGCGGTTCAGATCTTTATGCTACATTTGTGTCTAGTGAAGTACACGTACATATGTCAGATTTGCCATCCACCCCTAAAATGGCCATTTTTAAATGCTGACAAGTCAAAATTACGAAATATATGCAGTATTATATACATGTACAATGCAAATGTAAATTTTGTCATGATTGCGTAAATATCAAGGTGAGCGATACAGGCCCTTTGGGCCTCTTGTTATTAGAGTTATGGCCCTTGCCTCGTGTTTTTCAACTTGATGCATGTGTATGCAATGGGGACAAGTTTTCTCAGAAACTACTGAAGTTACACGCCGCTTTTAACATTATTACAGTTATATCACGGCTTAATGTGGGAGGAAAGCCCGAAGTGATGCAGGTCTCAGATGTTGACCACTTCGGTGAAACTATCGTAGGGATCAATATGTTAGAAATATGAATCAATTGTTGTACATTGATATAACTGTGCTGTATATAAATGGTGTTGACAAACTGTAAATGAAGATAAATTTTGTATAGTGTAACAAAGTAGGGAGCGTAGAATCAAGTACTTTTAGTGCAGGTGCACGGGTAGAATAGACATACTATAGTATTAATTATGTAATTGCTTTGGAGCTAGCTGGAGTCCCGGAATGACCGGCCGACGACACGACAAAGTCAGCGGCTAGGGATATCCAGCCAGCTCAGTCCGGCGGAGTTCGGCTTGGTACGCGGAATAAAGCAGAGAAAATACATCCCCTGTGTTATCGTAATTCCAACTGTACGATAAATCCCACGAGTACGGTTATGGTGCTGACAAACCTAGAAACATAATCAGGGCGAACCGGGATTCGAACCCCCAATCATAAGTTTCTGGCGTGCCCAAGGGACGCAACTCTGCACAGCGGATCGCGGCGCCTTAGACGACTGGGCCACCCCAGTCCCCGTAAGTAATTGGACCTGGTCCACACAGTTATATGGTTCTTGGCATACGGAACAGTTCAGTGTACAGACACGCGAGGGCAGTAGTCATAAGATGTTCATAATGAGTGGGGCCCTGTTCCACATGGCGAGTACAGGGTTATACCTGCTGTAAGTCTGTTCAACTATGGGAGTTAACTTACGATCGTCATTTTGTATAGGTTGTTTGAACCTTTAATGCTGCTTCATTCCAAGGTAAACACAATGGTGATTTGTTAGGGGAATTGTCTTCTGAACCCATGTTTGTTGTAAGAGGCAAATGGAGGTCAGGCTGCATGACGGGGTCTATGCATGTCATCATACCCCAATTGCATAGATTGATGCTCATGTCAATCACTCGATTGTTTGGTCCAGATTCGATTATTTACAGACGGCCATCATATGACTGGGATATTGCCGAGTTCAACAAACAATGATCCACAGAAAAGCAACTTAAATTGATCAGGTGGTCAGACTATCAGTTGATAGATTGCCTGTGAGGTGAGGTGAAATTGGGTTTAACGTCGCGTCCAAGATTATTGCACTTATATAGCGACGTGCATGCGTGTGTGTGTGTGTGTGTGTGTGTGGCTGCTTGTACTAGTCCGGACTGATGCCGATTTAAAGTGCTAGCCCACTGAGATACAATGCCGCAGTTTAGCATGAATACCCCACTCAGCCACAGTATACTGACTCCGAGCCGACCAGTCCTTGTTTTAGCCCCTTAATGCCGAGCGCCAGACAGGGTAACAACAAGTACCATCTTTTAACGTCTTTTGGTATGACGCGGCCGGGGATCGAACCCCGGACCTTCCGCTCTCCGGGCGGACGCTCTACCACTAGACAACGGAGGCGGTCGATTGCCTGTGACTGGGATATTTCATCACAGTTGTCTATTTACGGTCTTACTCAAGTGCAACAAACTTCCGGGGATCTGTATTTATTCTGATGCAAAATGCCCTTGAAGGATACACAACACCAATTATTGGCACTTAAAGTAGTTTATTTGAAAATTATGCAAAACAATATAGAAAATAGTTTTATGTAGATATTAGAGAAAAGGAGATTCATAAAGTGAAACATGAAATTATCAGGCAGTAACAGCAAAGGTAATTTGAAATTGAACACTTCTTGAAAAGTTTCAAGATCTTTGTGCGGGTGAATGGGGCTTTATCTGTACACATGAGTCCGTGTAAGAATAAGAGTATTGGAAAGGACAAGTCTTTAATATAATTTTCCCTTATTTTTCTTGAATAATGTCATGAGTTTCAATGTCATGAAATACTGACCTTACAGTAAGATTTACAGTGCAACAGTAAGTTGGCATTTCTATATTGATTGGAAATAAGTGAGAAAAGAATACAGTGCAGCTACTACTAAGTAGATGTAAACAGTGATTAATACAAAACCTTGTGAATATAGATAATGATTGTGGAAACATGCCAGTACACGAATACGGTGATAATATCTACATTGCCAGACGGGAAACAAAAACTGTCAGGCAAACATACATTTTCATTTGAAAGTGATGACAAGATGACCAATTGTTTTCAATTTCTTAAATTTGCAGTAACTGCTCTACAGATTATTTTAATGGTGAACACAAAATTATATATTTTTTAACAATCTTTTACAAGCATTGTGATATGAAAAGATGACGTGAAAGAGCAATATCTGAATTGGTAAGTCATTGGGTTACTTCCCCTCCAATTCTAGCCGACTTGAATGGTTACAGAATGTTTGAAAGTTGATTTAAAGTTAGTAAAATTCCAAAATCAAGTATGAAGAAAATATACTTTAGCTGCCAAAGTTCCTATTTTTTTTTATAACCTCCAAGGTTGTGACCTAAAAAACCCATTGATAAACCCTTAATATCGTCATGGATAATTCATTGTTTTGTCCAAGGATTCCTATGAATATCAACAAACATTTTTCAAAAATTATGTTCTTGAGGAAATTGTTTTTGAAAACAAAACAAAAAGTTAAACAGCGCCTCTTTTGACAATAAAAATCCAATGAACAAATCATTATTTTTGTTGAGCCATAAATTCTTTTACAAAACACATTTGGGTACGAAACATTAACTTTTGTATACCAATCTGGAAAGCAGTATTTCCTGAGACAAGCGATGGTATTATTTCCCATATCAACAACCTTCAGCTGGAACGTTAAAACTGACGGGAATGTTATCTTGCGACATGACCAAAAGCCAATGTAGCTGACCCCTTCATTGGTGACCTGTCTATGAGGCCCCCATCTCCAGCTGCACCTGTTTAGGGCTGGCCTTTTTTCCCTGCGCATAGAATCTGGAAGAGAATGGGATGAGTGATAGGAAGCAACATGGTATTAGCTCGTGCCAAGTTGTCAGTTTAAATGTCACAACCATGATTACCCAGCCTACTGTCAACCAGGTAATTCACATCCAGACCCAACTCCTCTTACTCGCACAACCAGGTAATTCACATCCAGACCCAACTCCTCTGACTCGCACAACCAGGTAATTCACATCCAGACCCAACTCCTCTGACTTGCACAACCAGGTAATTCACATCCAGACCCAACTCCACTGACTCGCACAACCAGGTAATTCACATCCAGACCCAACTCCTCTGACTCGCACAACCAGGTAATTCACATCCAGACCCAACTCCTCTGACTCGCACAACCAGGTAATTCACATCCAGACCCAACTCCACTGACTCGCACAACCAGGTAATTCACATCCAGACCCAACTCCTCTGACTCGCACAACCAGGTAATTCACATCCAGACCCAACTCCTCTGACTCGCACAACCAGGTAATTCACATCCAGACCCAACTTCACTGACTCGCACAACCAGGTATCTGACAACCAGATGATTCACATGACTGCTTTCACAACCAGGTAATTCACGTCTGATAAAAGAGGGTAATTCACCCGACTCCCACAACCAGGAAATTCACCTGACTCTCACAACCAGGTCACTCGTGTGACGGGCACAAACAGGTAAGTCACCTGACTGGCACAACCAGGTAACTCACCCGACTCTCACAACCAGGTAACTCACCCGACTCTCACAACCAGGTAACTCACCTGACAGCCTCGGCGTTCTCGTACGCCTCCTCCTCGCTGCTGTTTTCGTGTTGTGGAGGTGGGGGTGGAGGACGCTTGGTCTTACGCCTGTTCTTCTGGAACCTCTGAGTGAAGGTCCTCTCACTTCGCATCTTTGGAGCCGGTATGTCGAACTGTAACAGGAAAATGTAAACGTGTTTCAAAATCGGTCTCTGGATCCTAGCCCACACACCTATCAAACCTCATGGAGGTCTAATACCTTCCACACTGTTGACTTAATATACTACTCAAAACAGGTTAAGGACCATGTTGTAGTTGGGTCAATAGTGTACGATACCTATTAACATAAGGTCATGTATAAAATGTAAAACATGGATGTGGTAACTATACAATGACACGCATCAATAAACCTACCTAGTTGCTTCACTCCCCATTGCTCGCTGACTTGGTTGAAGCATGTCATCGTATCCCAATTTCGTGGATCGATGCTCATGATATCAATCACTGGATTGTCTGGTCCAGACTCGGTTATTTACAGACCGCCGTCATATAGCTGGAATATTGCTGAGTGCGGCGTAAACCAACCAACCAACCAAAAGAAATTAAAGACCATGACAGATTAACTATAGTGAGATGGAAGAATCGAGTGGTCCTTCAATTCCTTTGACTAGTATACGCTGGATATTGCCAACTGCTGGGTTAAACGGCATTCGATTAATCACATCACTGTCTAAACTCTCCACCTGAGCAGCCAATCCACCGCATGAGCTACTGTGAAATCTTACCCGCACTTCATAGATGTCGTCTTCGTTTGACGTTTCTGGTCGGGGAGCGTTGCTCGCGCCGTTATTCCTCTTCTCCACATCCTCGTCCTCGTCCTCGTCCTCAACATTCTCGTCCTTCACTTCAGCCGCGGCGGCATTTACCTCTGCAACACAGTGATTAAGTGTGTGGGTGAGGCGAGTTTTGACTTTCATTATGCAGTATTCCGTCTATATTACGGCTTCAAACATAAAATTTGAAACCGTGTGCCGAATCGACCCTGCGATATCCAGGCGTGACGAGAGAAGGGTATATCTACACGGCTCTACCGTGTTTGGCCTGACCGGTATCCTCTCAAAATTTTAATCAGTCTGTTTCGTTTCCTTCAATATGGACAAGCCTATCTAATATCACAGCTGAATCAATAGACTAAGATCTAGTCTCTGAAATGAACAGATCGTACAGAAACAAAACAGTTGTTAAATTATCTTAATAAAAATATAATAAAAAAGGAGCCCAGAGACTCTCTTCATTTTCAGATACTGCAGTAATACAGACTTGCCAAACATTATAGACTTGCATGGGCTGTATTTGATAAATTTGTATCAGGGTCTGTAAGACAGACTAGTGAAAAAGGTAACAGTCATGTTCTCTCGTGCATCACTTCCTGAGCATCAGACACCAACACTTCTACATGTCAAAACTACTACAGACTGATACAACAAAGTACATTATCCCACTGCACGGGTAATCAATCCCCTGCCGGTTGGTTACCTTGATAATGGGTGAGGGACCGGTCATTTATTATAGGGGAGGGTGGGTCAGAGGGGTTTGATGCACTAATGTACTGAAAATAATTACCTTCCCCTAATGCTTGTCCTAATTTTTGATGATCCTCCCCATGGACGTGTACATTTTTTTTCAGGCCCCTCCCCGAAAGGACAAAAGGCAAAAGCACTAATTATATTATATTAGAATTTTTTTATTTTCTCATGACACCCCAAGTACGTGTATCATGTTTTACGACCCTCCTCCAGCGGCTGTCCTATTTGTAAGTGGCCATAACCATTTACGTATTCCATGTGCCACTGTGAGTGGTCTTCTGGAAATAAACATTGTTACAGGTCAGGTAATAGGTTATCTTCCTCGACAGCTTTACCCCCCTTCTTTTGGGGTGTGTCATTTCAGCAGCAGGGAACATCCGTTTTTTTAATTAAAATTCAGTGTAGAAATGTTGGCATGCTGAAGTTAGGGGAGACAACCGACGTAAAAGCCGCTAGCCCAATCTTGTCAATAGTAAAATAATTTCTTATACGTTAAACTCTGGTATTGTTTACGCAGAAAACAAATATCCTGGGACGGTATTTCATTCATTCATTCATTCTCGCGAGCACGGGTATGATACGAGATTCAAGCTTAATAGCATATCTATTAAAATCTATATCAAAAGTCACACAGGCGATATCAAAGCAAAGCGAAGAACATTTGACATACCACGGTGTACCAGTGTGGATGTTGGAAACCGTTAGCCATGACTATGTAGACTACACAAATGGGCCTCTAAGGCCGAGACACAGAGAAGAATGCCATTCAGTAATTTTGTGTTATTCAAAACGAAGTTAGCGAAACTATAGTGTTCGGCCATGACAACTTTGAGCGTGACAACTTTAATCCAGCGTCTAACAATAGGCATTTCGATAGTTGCAGTACTTAGATCATGTTTTGTGCAGACGGACCCAGGACAATAATTTGTGGATTTATAGTGTAGATAGATTCATTGTATACTTGCCCTTAAACCAGTGGCATATTCCAGTACGTACATTTATGAAGGTGACACGTTTACGCCACTGCATTGTTGCGCAACTATCAGGCGCGGACACACAGACGAGAGTAGAGACAGTGTTACACTGACGAAGCTAAACACACCCTCGATTATCCAGTGTATTAGATCTCCATTCTATTGCAATTCTATATACCTATACCTATTCGCCACAACAGCGAAATCAGTTCACTTCTTATACACAGTACAAAGTCTCGCCCATGAGATTTAAATCAACAACCAATCAGCATGCCTGTTCTGAACGCGAGTTCGGCATAGATATACATTCAAAATGGCGGCCTCGCCCGTGCCAAACCCATCGATATATTTAATCGAAACAGAAACTAATAAATGAACCTTTAGCCGGAAATGTGTCTAAAACAAGGAAAGGGGGGCCTTTTGCCACAAGACATTGTATAGTTGAATTTGAAAGGTAAGCAAAATTTGAATCGAGTACTGGCGATGTCGCCGCTACTGAAATTTGATTGGACAGCTATCTTTAGCGTCGCGTCGTTCGAACCAGATTGAAACAACGCGGCATGGTGGCGAGATGTGTCCGGGGTAGGAGATATAATAACACTAGCCAATCGAGGATGATTATACAGCATAGGGATACCTTCATCTTTAGATTCTTTTTCTGAAAAAGCGAGTGATGCAGTTAAAATAGTATGTAGCTTCAGCCATGTTTCAGTTCCATATAGCGACGATTTGCTGGAAGAGATTCCGTGTTACCTGTCTGTTGTAGACTCAATGAAGCATCATATTTTGAAGAATCCTTTTGTGTAGAGTCAACAGCACATGTATCATACAAATGTCTGCAGAAGGCCTAAATGATAAATGATACAAGTATCCTATGGTTACATTCGTGTCTGTAGGAGACTAAATTATACATGTATCCCATGGTTACACTAGTGTCTGCAGGAGACTAAATAATACATGTATCCCATGGTTACACACATGTCTGTAGGAGACTAAATGATACATGTGTCCCATGGTTACACACATGTCTGTAGGAGACTAAATGATACATGTATCCCATGGTTACACTCATGTCTGTAGGAGACTAAATGATACATGTATCCTATGGTTACACTCGTGTCTGCAGGAGACTAAATGATACATATATCCCATGGTTACACACATGTCTGTAGGAGACTAAATGATACATGTATCCTATGGTTACACTCATTTCTGTAGGAGACTAAATGATACATGTATCCCATGGTTACACTCATGTTTGTAGGAGACTAAATGATACATATATACCATGGTTACACACATGTCTGTAGGAGACTAAATGATACATGTATCCAATGGTTACACTCATGTCTGTAGGAGACTAAGTGGGACATGTATCTTACGGTCAGGTTATAACCCTCTATGTACCTGTATGACTAAATGGTTCAAGTGTCATGAAGTCACCCAATTTGACCAATTCCCAAAGTAATCAGTTCGATAAATTACAATTACCATCTTTCTTTAAAGACTGAAAGGGATAAAAGATGGTTGCACCTATGGACAGGCAGTGACGTCTGCTACCCACCTTCCACCTGGATCTCCTCCGAGTCCTGTAGAACATCCACGTTGAAGAACGTGGCGATGTGCCGAGGGTAGCGGAGGTCAAGGACGAATATAACTGCCCCCAGGACCAGGCACAGGATGCCTGTCAACAAAATCAACAATTACTTTTCGCGGACACCAGGTGTCTTCTCAGATTTTCAGTGATCCATTGATATAGTTTCCCTCACTATTTTGCCTTTTACGCCCAATGGAGTTTGTTTCGCAAATAATCGAGATTATGTTCTGGCGTTGACATTATATATATATTTTTTCAAATATTGATTCAGAGGTTTGCTAACGATGGCTTGTTCGATGCCTCTTGTTGTTGATCGTGAATGAGTGAGTGAGTAAAGTTTAATGTTAATATAATGTTTAATTATTCCAGCAACACAACCGGTAATGGGCTTCTCACTGTCGTAAATACAGATTCGAAAATTACATTGTGATAAATTCTGTTTCAGTGCAAAATATGAATACGTTAATATAATACACGTGTCAAAGATTTTCATAAATACTGATGTAAATTTTGCCTGAATACTGAGCCTTTATACAGTAGATTTAATTCACATACTACAGCACAAACAACAGAACATGGCATTATCGAAAGTACCTAAAGCGGGTAGACAAAATATTTGTTTCGTCTCACTGCTTAAAGGAAATCGTTTGGTACAAATATAGCTCTTCAAAATAGGACTACGAGAGAAGGGGCGTAATCAGGAAACACAATGCGAGGAAAACCACAAGATAGAAACCTGTTATCAAGCACAGCCAGAACGCCGAGCTGAAGGAGAACCTCATGATGTGCTCTGCTGAGAAGGGGATGACGAGTGGGTTGAAGTTCCTGACTGTTGCCCAGATAATGTTTCCCGACACCATGCAGATCCCTGTCAGAATCAGCATGTAGGCCCCATACCGCAGCAGAACGAAGAACAGGATGTTGGCTAGGACCCACAATGGAAACGCCGTCCTGTGAACACAAAGGGGAGATAACCGATTTGCGATTGTTGTTCTACGTTAACGCTTTGCGTGTTTAGAGACGAATGACTAAAGGGCTGATGTCTTTTTCTAATATACTTATGTTTTTACTTTTAACCCTCGCATTATCAAATCTATTTCAACAGCAAATGACCCCACTTACCATAGGAGTATATGGGTGTACCACCCGGCCTGTCTGTAGAACCGCCCCCAGCGGACACCCTCTCCGTCGAATGTGAAGTATTCTGCTATCCACAGAATTGGCAGAGGGAGCCCTCGGAACTGAGCCGCACGGTACTCCCTGGCGAACCTTCCCGCTGGTGACCAAACATACAGGCTCACGTTAAATGATGATACATGTTCAGATGAGTTAGATAGGTGTTCCTGACATACACCTGCAAATAGGGGATCTTCCTACTGACATATACCTGTAAATAGGTGATCTTTCTACTGACATACACGCGCAAATAGGGGATCCCCCTACTGTCATACACGTGCAAATAGGTGATCTTTCTACTGACATACACGTGCAAATAGGGGATCTTCCTACTGACATACACGTGCAAATAGGGGATCTTTCTACTGACATACACCTGCAAATAGGGGATCTTCCTACTGACATACACGTGCAAATAGGGGATCTTTCTACTGACATACACGTGCAAATACGGGATCTTTCTACTGACATACACGCGCAAATAGGGGATCTCCCTCCTGGCATACACGCGCAAATAGGGGATCTTTCTACTGACATACACGTGCAAATAGGGGATCTCCCTAATTGACATACACGCGCAAATAGGGGATCTTTCGACTGACATACACGTGCAAATAGGGGATCTTCCTACTGACATACACGTGCAAATAGGGGATCCTTCTACGGACACACACGTGCAAATCGAGAATCGGTCACCTGACATACACGTGCAAATAGGGGATCGACCTACTAACACACCTGCAAATAGGCGGTCAACCTACTTACATACACAGACACAGGAAGGTCCATCCACACAAAGACTAACGGGGCGGTGGGGCAGCCTAGTGTTTAAAGCGTTCGCTCGTCACACTGAAGACCCGGGTTCAATTCCCCACATGGGTACGATGCGTGAAGGCCATTTCTGGTTTCCCCCGCCGTGATATTGCTGGAATAGTTTTACAAGCAGCGTAAAACCATACTCACTCACACAGGCTGACGAACTTACCAAACGGCCCGAAGCCAAGGCGGCCCTGTCTCCACTCCCAGCTGAAGTGCTCGTTGTAGTTGATCGTCTCATTCAGCTGCATCTCCGGTTCTCCTGCATGGTAACATACAAGCCATGCGTGTGAGACACAACGTGATACGGGGCGCGGGTGGCCCAGTCGTCTAAGGCGCCGCGATTCGCTGTGCAGAGTTGTGTCCCTTGGGCACGCCAGAAACCTATGATTGTGGGTTCGAATCCCGGTTCGCCCCGATTACGTTTCTAGGTTTGTCAGCACCATACCCGTGCTCGTGGGTTTCACCGAAGTGGTAAACGTCTGAGACCTGCATCACTTCGGGCTTTCCTCCCACATTAAGCTGACACGCCGTGATATAACTGGAATACTGTTAAAAGCGGCGTTAAACACAACTCACTCACTCACTCACTCACAACGTGATACGTGAGTCTAAAAACAGTTGCACCTCCTTTACTCGAACACCGCTATGTATTGCGCTAGGCTTTAATATCGTGACTGGTCTTGTATCTTGTAACTACATCAAACTACGGTTATAACGAACTCAAAGGGACCACAAAGTTTAGTTCGTTGTAACTGTAGTTCGTTATAAGCAAAATATATACTGCTTATAGGCAAACGACCAGGACAAAAAAATAAGTTCGTTATATCCATCAGTTCATTATAACCGTGTTCGTCATAAACGTAGTTTACTGTATATGTGTAACTCGAAGTGCATATGATGGTCAGAGTTGACTGTCGCCAGCCTCCTCTCGCCAAACACTCCTCTCGTCTAACACTTTAATTACACGCTTACGTAAGCGCATGCTTTGGACACTACTCGATTCCTGACTAAGCTTATAACCACGATTAGAGTTATGAAGATTACATAACTCTAAATTGTAAAATGTAAACAATGCTATGAATATCATTCAAGAACATGAATTTTGTAAATTCGATTGTTCAATACACGGCTTAGACTTCTTATTTTTTTTGACGTATATCAAGTAAATTGAATCTATTCTTTAAAAGGTTGGAAAGAAACGAAACGAATACATGTGTATATCTATATCAAAATACAACTATATGGGTTTCCTATTAGTTCTGTTTTAAATATTTTTTAATATCAAACATGACTATATGCCGGTGTAAGCATTGTTAATTAAAGTTGGTTGGTTGGTTGGTTTGTTGTTTTACGCCGCACTCAGCAATATTCCAGCTATATGACGGCGGTCTGTAAATAATCGAGTCTGGACCAGACAATCCAGTGATTAATATCATGAGCATCTATCCACGAAGTTGCGATGGATGACATGCATCAACCAAGTCAGCGAGCCATCGACGTTGAACTTGACGTTAATTCCAATTTACCTCACGTCATCCTCGGTGGTTTTGACACAGTGAGGGTCGTTTGTTGGTAAACACAGCATACATCGTTTTACATCGTATACTCAGTGTCTTGTTTCTGTCTCACTCCTACCTTTCAGAGTTATGTTCACTCCGCGGAGACCTATGTGAAGTCCTATCTCAGCTACAATGTCCTTTCCCGACCCTGCCTTGTATTTGGTTTCAGTGTCACTAATGACGGATTCCTCCCAGGACATGGCGAAGTTACTCACTGTGTAGAGAATGAGAGCGTGAGTTAATAACGCCGCTTCAGGCAGTATTTTTATTACATCAAAGCGTGGCAATTTAGTAAGGAGGAAGGTCATGCACCCCGAATTTGGTGTTGACATGTCCGGATCATAATTAGGTTGAACCTGGGATTCGAACCCGGGACAAGCGGATCCTGACACAACTAAAGGATGCAACTCTTCAGGAATTACGAGTGAATGTGATATTTATTTAAATGGACATCGAAAAACAACGTGTATGTAAATATTTGTCGCCGCCATCTTATACCTCGTTCACAGGTGTGTATATGTGTATACTCCGTTCGCATGCACAATATTTACTAACGTAAGTAATTTTACACATGTGTAACTTTACATACGTGCGTGTATGTAAATTTACTATGCGTTCACATGAAAAGCATCTAAGGTGTGTAAATAGAGTATGTAAATTGTGTAAGGCACACATATTCAGTCTGTTCACGACTTTCAACACAAAACAGGTTGTTTTCCAATCAAAGTTGAATGAGAAGAGAGTTACTTCACCGAAAGTTTTCGCGTGAAGCAACATGTGTTTGATCTAATTTGTACACAAAGTTTTGACTCCTTGAAACCCAAAGTAAAAACGCCGTCCGCTCAACTATGTATGTAAAAGTTGGCATCTGTTGACAATTTGTTTGGTGTTGGCAAGAGAACAGATATTACTTGGATCATCATCTTACGTTGACATAAACGTTCACATTGCAGCATATACACACAGGGCAAATTTACATTTACATTAGCACCTGCTCCAGAAATGCAAATTTGCTCCTGATGTAAATATACACACATGAGTAAACGCGTTCACATGACAAGTATACTCACGTATGTGTTTCTACACACATATGCACATGTACACACATATGTATAGAGGCACATGTAAACGGGGTATTAGAAAATAGAGAGGTCGTTAAGTATGCCCTTGGGGTCGGGAAAAACCGCGGGGGCTTCGCCCCCTTGGTTTTTCCCTCTCCCCAGGGCATGCTCTGTCTACCAAAACCGAGGGAAAGTGTTTTTCCAAGCTTATAAACCGAAAAAAGAAACTTAAAACAACATTTATCAACATTTTAATGTTTCGAACATACTTTCCATGAACCTTAGATAACGCGTGTAAAATATCTGTTGCTGGCGTACGGATTTTGAAAAGGACATTCTAAAAACCAGTGAGGCTTATCAACACCTCTGTAGCCTCGTTGTACACTCACTGGGCTACAGATATGAAGGTTGCGAGATCGATCCTCGGGAATATAAAGAAAACATTTGTCATTTGATTTTACATTCCATTACATGTTACAATCTGAACGGAAGTTATATTAATAAAATACCCATGACATTATATAATATAAATTCCCAGGGACATTACAACGTCCTTGTTTATGAGATTTAACCCGACTGGAAAGTAAAACCTCACAATAGGTTTTAATGCCTATAGAAAGAAGTCTCTTACTTAATAGCGATCCCAATGAATAGGTTTATAAATATACCTTGTAGCTGATGATGATGTTCCACAGATCTTGCCTACACAAATGATTGTGTGGTCATCAAAGTTCACATGCTTTTTTGCGCGAGTAATGCGGTAATGCATGGTCTCAAATATTATGTTTTCATGTGTCACGCACGCACGCACGCACGCACGCACGCACGCACGCACCCATGCGCAGAGTGTTATCTATACAACCATGTATACACGGGACACAGTTTACGGCAATGTAAGTTTACTGTCGAGGGACCCGTTCCCCTTAGCTATCTTAGCGCTATCGTAACTCCCATACTGAGACTTATGCTAGTATTAGAGCGGGCTTTCTTCAACGGGGCCCTGTCAGAATCAGTATCGGCACTATTGGAGAGAGAAGGGGAAAGGGGGAGAGAAATGGAGAGGGGGAGAAATAGAGAGAGAGAGAGAGAGAGGGAAAAATAAATGGAGGGAGAGACAGAAACGGAGAGAGCGGGGGAAATAGAGAAAGGAAGAGAGGTAGAAATGGAGAAGAAGAAATAGAGAGGGAGAAAAGGAGGGGGAGAAATGAATGGGGGCGATAGAAATGGAGAGGAAGAAAGAGAGAGGGAGAAATGGAGAGTGAGGGGAGAGATGGGAGAAATGGAGAGAGAGAGAGGAGGGGAGAGAAATAAAAGGGGGCGATAGAAATGAGGAAGAAAGAGAGGGAGAAATGGAGAGAGAGAAGGGGAGAGATAGAGAGGGAGAGATAGAAATGGAGAGGAAGAAAGAGAGATAGAAATGGAGAGGAAGAAAGAGGAAGAAATTGAGACAGAGAGAGGGGAGAGATAGAAAGGGAGAAATGGAGAGAGAGAGGGGGAGAGAAATGAAAGGGGGCGATAGAAATGGAGAGGGAGAAGTGGAGAGAGAGGGGGAGGGGAGAGATAGAGAGGGAGAAATGGAG